GAGATATGATCAGCGAGCCACTCGCCACAACTGGATTATTGACTCGGCCATCGCATATGTTGCTCAGAACCCGTGGTTGGAGAACGCCACCATCAAGGACAATATCCTTTTTGGTCTTCCGTACGATCGTTATCGTTACCGCAAAGTCATTCACGCCGCAGGGTTGAAAAAAGACTTCGCAATGTTTCCAGATGCCGATCGGACGGATATTGGTGCAAACGGAATCAATTTGAGTGGTGGTCAGCGCTGGCGCATTTCATTTGCGCGTGCTCTGTATTCCCGTGCCGGAATTCTAGTTATGGATGATATATTCAGTGCGCTTGACGCTGAGACTGGGCGCCACGTGTATGAGCATGCCCTTATCGGCAAGCTAGGCCATGGCAGGACCAGGATCCTGGTCACGCATCATCTTGGCTTGTGTCTGTCTCGGACTGACTACTGTGTTATCCTATCGGACGGACTTACGATTCATGCTGGGACAGTAGATGAATTGGCAGCCACTCAGAATTTGATAGACTTGTTGGGCGAATCTGCCAAGTCATCAAATGGTCGCAACGCTGATGTGGTAGACGACGAACCTGTGACACCGATAACACCGATGAAGCGCGTATCTACCGAGTCAGGCTTCTCAGTAGCAACAAGTATCGCCGAGCCTCCAAGGAAGTTCACGGAAGACGAGAGGCGCGAGAAAGGAGCCGTGTCCCTGCAAGTGTACACAACATATATGACCAAGGGGAAATGCCTACGCTGGTGGATGATAACGTTTTTGGCTTATGTCACATTTATGGCGCTTTTAGTCGGAAGAGTAAGTGTCCATATCCTTCCAGTTACGGACCACAATTGACCGTTTATTAGTCTTGGTGGATAAGTGTTTGGACAGACTCGTCCACATTCTCATCCCAACCGACCCATCCGAACGGTGCCGTCCAATCTCAAACGATGGATGTCAACAGACGTTTTGTCGACAAGGACTCCATGTTCTATCTCAGCATATATGTATGCTTTTCGGTGGCCGCATGTATCATTGGAACTCTGAGGACTTTGGCCCTTGCCCTTGCGTCTCTGGAGTCTTCCCAGCGACTCTTTGATGACCTATTGGCAGCTGTATTGCGCTCACCGCTGCGGTGGCTAGATACGGTGCCCCTCGGCCGGATCCTCAATCGATTCACATCTGACATGTACATTCTTGACTGGAGGCTCGGTTATGACATTGGACACTTCGTGTTCAAAGCTCTGGAGCTGACTAGTATACTAGCAGCAGGAGTGTTGGTATCCCCGATACTGCTGGTGCTCGCTTGTATCCTCCTGGTCCTGTGCTTTAGACTCTCCAAGACTTACCTCACAGGAATGCGTCAGATTAAACGACTCGAAAGTACCGCTAAAAGTCCTGTCCTGGAACGATTTGGGTCCAGTCTCTCCGGTCTGACCACGATTCGAGCTTTCAACAAAGCAGAGATCTATATGAAAGATATGTACGATCGCATCGATCGTCACGCTCAGGCGGCGTGGTATCTCTGGCTTTTAGACCGATGGCTATCATTTCGGATGAGTATTGCGGGAGCCGTGCTGGCCGGGATGACAGCAGCTCTGGTAGTGTACGTTCCCAGCATCTCTCCGGCACTGGCAGGTTTCGCCATGACATTTGCGCTACAATACAATTATGCCGTGTCGATGGGCCTGCGCTTCTATGCAAATGTGGAAACAGACATGAACGCTACTGAGCGGGTGTTGGAGTACTGCAACATTGACCTCGAGGAGCAAGGGGGGCATAACCCGCCAGCGGCATGGCCCACGCGTGGAAAGGTAGAAGTTGAGGATCTGGTTGTGGGCTACGCCCCAGACCTGCCTCCTGTGATTGACGGGCTAAGCTTCACTATGGAGAACAACCAGCGAGTGGGCGTTGTTGGACGTACCGGGGCTGGAAAATCATCGCTAACTCTGGCATTGTTCCGCTTCCTCGAGGCCCGACAAGGGCGCGTACTCATTGATGGGCTGGATATCTCGCAAATCAAGCTCGAAGCTTTACGCAGTCGTCTTGCCATCATTCCACAAGACCCAGTGCTCTTTTCGGGAACGCTGCGGTCTAATCTGGATCCCTTCAACGAGTATAGTGATGTGGAACTCTACAACGCGCTAGAACGCGTACATCTGGTCTCGTTCGAGGATACACTGACCCTGGCGTCGCATTCGAGTAGCGAGCCACTGAGCGACAGCGGTACATTGCCGTCATACGCCACCTCGAGCACGGAGCCAGTCAAAACAAGCAACTTTTTCGCGTCACTATCATCAGTCGTCTCTCAGGGAGGGCTCAATCTCTCCCAAGGCCAACGGCAACTACTTTGCCTAGCGCGGGCCATAGTCTCCCAACCGAAGATCATGATCCTGGATGAAGCCACCTCCGCAGTGGATATGGAGACGGAAACTTTGATTCAGCGGTCCATTCGGGAAGAGTTTGGACGCAATGCTACCTCGCTCCTCGTCATTGCGCACCGCCTCAGCACGGTTGCGGATTTTGATCGAATCCTCGTGATGGACGCCGGGAAGGCTGTGGAGTTTGGCACACCGCAGGAGTTACTCGACATCGAGGGAGGCGTATTTCGAAATCTGGTGGAGAACAGTGGAGAGCGAGCATATCTGGAGCGAGTCATCAAGGGAGAAGAGACAGGGTCTCGAAGCCCTTAGCTTTGTTTTGTTCAGTATAATTAGCGTTTGGGTGGCTTGATTGTATTCTAATCGATATGTACAGTACAGGTATCCTCTATTGCCTGCTGAAGATACCTTTTCCACAACTACTTTCTAATTAGGTTATTAGCGACACAGAATGAATGTACTACTTACCAGCTTCTAGAAGAGGTCTCCTAACGCGTAACGTATCATTGGTATTTACAGAACCATACCAGATGTAAGATGAGCAACCACTACTACCCTTCGGGTTAGTGACCTCGAAACGCATTCGAAACAGTCGCAGCGCTGGACTTTAAAAGCACCGGCGGACCTGCTCTTTTCATGGAATCTCGACTTGCCTTTCCTACTCCGTTATAGCGGCTTTCCCTCTCCGATCATCTCCCCCCATCGTCACTATCATCATCTCTCGCCTCTCAGTACAGGAATCCATTCAATTCATACACACTCACATGGGATCGGACTTGCTACGGTCGCCGACTAGTCAAGACATCAGCACGGAGAAAGCCACGCGGTCTTCCTCATCACCGCCACTCCCCGTGGTGACCCCCGCTGCTGCTGCTGCTGCTGCTGCTGCTTCCACCGCCGCCGCTCAAGTGGACCCTGAAGATGACTGGGCTGGTCTCTGCGACCGCCAGGAACGTCGACGACGACAGAACCGGCTGAACCAGCGAGCATACCGTGAGATACATCCACCAAATACCCATTTATCATCAATCCCATCTAACCTCAAATAACCACAGGGAAACGAAAACAAGCCGAACGCAACAGCAACAACAATGCCCTGGTCACACGGTCATCCTCCTCACACCCACCACTAGCACTAGACCCCAACACCAAGCATGAGCAAACCAGCCCACCATCATCATCATCATCCTCCTCCTCCACCCCATCCTCCCAAACCCTCATCACCCGCCGCACCCTAACCAGCGAAGCCTCCAAACCGGAAAACATCCGGCGAATATTCGAGCACTTCGCACGGGTCGCCTACGAGAGCTACTTCCGGGGCTCCCCGTCCGCGGACCACCTCCTCACACTCAGCAAACTGAACGTCTTCCGCGCCTTCATGACCAACATGACAGTCCTCGGCTTCGGGAATTCCACCACCTGGTGTGACGACGACGATGCCCTCTCCCTCTTCAACACCCTCCCGCCAGAGGCAATCCAGGAAAAGCGACTACCTGTGAGTCTCCGTCCGACGAAGATCCAAATGCAGGTGCCGCATCACCCGTGGTTAGATTTCTTCCCGTTGCCGCGTCTCCGGGATAATCTGTGTCTTATGATTGATCGGTTCGATGATGATGAGCTTTGTCATGATGTTATGGGGTTCTGGGATAATGCGTCCGATACGTGTAGTTTGTTGGTGTGGGGGGAGCCGTCGGATCCGGCGAATTGGGAGGTCACGGAGCAGTTCCTCAGGAAGTGGCCGTGGGTGTTGAGGGGGTGTCCTGAGTTGTTGAAGAGTACGAATCGGTGGAGGCAGAAGAGGGGGGAGAAGATGATTATTAGGTATTTGTAGGGTGCAACTGTGTTGATAGTGTGATGATGTGATGAGTGTAAGTAGATTGAATATAATGGGTTATGATCTTCCCTTCCTTTCCCATACTATACCTACTGTGAGTAGAAAGTACATATGCATCAGTGCAGTGATCCTAAACCTATCTAGTATTCCCCTAAAGCAATTAGTGTAGCACAACATATAGTATATAGATACATACGTAGTATGCACACACATACATATAATAAGCATAAACATGAACATAAGCACTCAATCTAACAACAACAACGCATACTTACATCATCACTCTCTACACCACCAACTCCTATGCCATCCCTCCCCTCGGGAGATACGATCTCCACCGTCCGGAGAACCAAGGCGCAAGGCAGACGCTAATGCACCCTGCTGACACGCTTAATTACTGATTCCCTGGATCGTGGAGAATCATTGTCCAATCAAACGACGCAGATTGACTGATCTGCTTGGCAAGGCGGTACATTTGTCAGCGTTGAAGGAGGGGTGTTTTGTCAGAATTTGTTATTTCGATACGGGTACGAGTGATATGTTTGTATTGTTGCCTGAGGCAGAAATGGGGTTTGTTGGTACTATGGATAGTTGATTACTGGTGTGGCTAACATTTTGTTTGTATCGACAACTCTTCACTTTAGGTTGCGAGTACTCTAATGCATTGTATTAATAATAGTGTTGAGGGTGCCGTGACGACACTGTTCAATGCTAATTAATGAATCTACTAAACGTCAACGTCAACGTCAACTTCACATCCACAGGCTGAATGACCAGCATTCTTCCCATGAAGGTATCAGCACCCTCGATCACAAGGATCAGATCCGATCACATTCTCTCGCTCCACCTTTTCCACCATCTTGCACAATGCATCGGCGACTCCGTACGAAAAGGCATAACCGCCTCCGCCGAATCCATAGGCTGAGAGGATGTACCGGTTTTCGTGCTGCTCTGAGTCTAAGCGGAAGCCACCCTTCCTCGAGGGCCGGATGCCGACGATGTAGCTGAGGGTGTCTTCGGGTGGGTTCTCGGGAACGATTTCGGGCGCAAGACGGTGTGCGCGTGCGATCTCATCTCGGGCGATTTCCATGTCTGGCTCGGAGGATCTGTTATAGAGTTAGTATTCGGTGTTCCCAAAGGTGTAGCTGCTTAGGTATTCGTGATCAGGCCTTACAGGTTGTCGGCTTGTTTGACGCCTCCCAAGATGACACCATGTGACATAGGTCGAGGGATAACGTAGGTGTATTCTTGGCCGTTCCGGAAGTACATTGTGCGACAGTTTTCCGTCTTGTAGAACACGTTCTGCCCCCGTTCCGGGAAGCACTGGTCATCTTGGACGTCCTTGAGGGTCTGACTTCCGATTCCGCTAGCGTTGATGAAGATACTTGACTCGGGGAACATGTGATAGAGGTCTTCAAGAGCCTCTACCCGCTTGCGAATGAACTGGCCGCCCAGAGCAGTGATCTTCTTGCCCAGATACGGCATGTGGATGGTGGGATCGGTAACGAGAGTCTCGTACGACCATCCACAGCTGAATTCTGATGGATATTCACCCGGTTGTAAGTCACGCCACTAGGTCTTGTGTCAACTCCCGAACCGTGTCTATTACTGTTTATGTGAGCTGTCTTACCTTGGCAGCCAGAGTCCTTCCCCATGCCGACGAGTTTTCAGCGGGGGGTCGTTCGACATACTCCAGGGCATCGACAATGCTGACTCCAGATTCGGGTTCATCTTGTGCCATTTTCAGCATGTGGCGATGACTGATGGCTTGAAGATGTCGCCATTCCGAACAGATCCCGCCCGCTGGATGCCATGCCGCTCCAGCCCAAGCGGACGCATAGCGAAAATCTTGATCACCAGGTAGATACTCCGCGACCAAGATGACTGGAAAGCCGTCCTGTAGAAGCTGTCGCGCTGCGGCACAGCCAATAATGCCCGCACCCAGAATGATGATCGGGCGTTGTGCGAAGGGCACGTTGGGTGTATCGGCCGGATAGTGCTGGAGTTCGCCCATCTTTTCTAGAAAGATTCTGTATCCCGCTACCCATTAAAGTGGGGTTAGCAGGGGATTTAAAGGATGTTTAGGGGGAAAGGAAGAACGGTTCAAGAAGGAAAGAAGAATGGAACGGTAGTATGGGAGGCAAATCATGCAAGAGCCCATAGAAAGGGATGCTGAGTTTATACCACGGCGGCGACATCGGAGGCCTTCAAATTATATTCTTGCTAGCCTCCCAACACGATACGATTTCATGACCCTCAAGGGATATAGTTCGGACCGCTTCTGAGGCCATGAGAGCGATCATGAGCCAGTAGCGAGGAAAAGGTGTAGTGGGATGGGGGGCTTTTCGGATCGAAGCGCCCAGAAGCCAGATCCGCCAGGCGGTTGGAGCCGACTAGCGGGTCGAGCCGCTGCTGGTGAGAATTCGATCTCTCCTTCTTATTTGGCGCTGCCTTACTGATGCTCCTCCTCCCCGGTTATCTTTACTTTCTCCAGTGCGGTCAATCCGTCGAGGACTCGTCAGCTCCAAGCCTCATCTGCAGCCCTCATAGGTCCTGGGTGGATGGCGCCATGCCCGACACGGCTTGATGGGGCGGCCCTTTCCGACACGCAAATACTATATTCGCAAACTGATCCGCGGAAGACCATTTGGGGATAGATGTCGACGTGTCATGTCATCGAATCGGTATTCAAATCCGGCCGACGGGTAAACAATCCGGTCCACGAGGTTGACAGGATGATACTATGCGAAAGCCTTCATTTATCGCAATAGAAGTTGGCAAGGAACAAGCCGCGCCCGATCATTGTGCAGGTTAATCACTTTGGAATGAATACTGCGCAAGAAGAATGACAATCACTGCCGAAGACATGGCCTGATGCACAAGTTTCAATGGTGTATGTTCATCCCGATGGGGAGTGGGACTTCAGCTGGGCATAGCAATCCTGTTTGCAGCTCGATTGCCTTGTCTCGCCCACTCGCAAGCTGCGGGGCTTGGATTCTCACGGGAACAATGAAAACTCCCTCGTATACGTATAAACGAAGTGGATCGGTCAGACAGTGCAGGATACACGCGTCCGCTCACCACTCAGCAATCTCATCCCTGTCGTAGTCCAGCTGGTGATTGGAAAGTCTTTGAGGTCATCGGCGTCGCCGAGTGTGCCACCGCCGATTGAGTTTGGATGTCCCGAACCGCAGCGACATCATGAAAGTCCAAGCCTATGTTGGGATACTTGCGTACAGTGCACATCAAGCTGTGGATGCTGGAAGTGAAGCTAGTTGTTTATGAGTACCGTTTTTGGAAGAGAGTAGTCAGTGGAGCCCTCTTCCAGGAAAACAAATCGGTTTCTGAAGTCTAAATAGAATTGCCCGACTGGTGCAGGATTGGCGAGGCAGCCAGACATGGAAACGAGTGACAGGCCACTGAAGCAGTAGGGTCAGTAGGTGGATGGCCCAATTCGGAGCCGAGAGTGCCTTGCCTGCCTGTCTGCCTGCTTGCTTGCTCGCTTGTCTGCATTGCGCTGGGAGGGTCCAGTTTGAGAAGGATTTACGGTTTAGCGGGCATGATAAAGCAAGATGTCGCTTTCGGGAGTTGTCGTTGGTCACGTTACTAGACATCCTTGCAACTTGTGCATTATAATGCAGGATATTATTGGTTTTATCCTTAGATCCGGGAGATGTCATCTCCGGGACGAAAGTCTGGTAGAATTGGATGTAATCAAGCGAGTCGAACTCAGTATATGATCAGTACGACACCTGAGACAAGAAGGATATACTCTGCAGTAGAGTCGCAATGGACTGTGGCTATGCCTAGCAAGAGACATCAATTAGCTCGAAAATCATCACGTAATCTACTCAGAAATTGGATTAATCTACTACCAAAAACAACAAATATGCCAGCTCATATAGTGGTACCCATATTATGACAAGTTCGTTATACTAGCATGAGATGGAAGTGAAATGTCATAATCCATACTACCGGATTTGCCAAGGACCCACAAGACAAAATATAGTTACCACGCTAATAGTATTAGTTGATACTATACACATCCACATTATACACAGTCAACTACTTACTGACTAGCACTGTCTTCTCCGAATTCACGAAGGTTTACTCACTCAACGATTTGAATAGATTCACAGGAAAATCATGGCGACATATCTGTAGGACTTCTCTGCATGATCGCAATTCGGTGTGAACAACAGCAGATATCCCCGACAGAGGCCATTACCTCATGTCCTGTCTTATAAGAAGTAAAGAGCTACGAAATAGATAGGGCGAATGAGGACCGTGCGGGATAAGTCTGTCCCTATAAGAAGAAAGACTATTTCCTGACCCATCTTCCCTCCTCCGCTGATCCGGTCCCTTTCTGAGCCCCGACATCGGCTATTGTCCTCTTAATGACTATGCCGATGAATGGATCCAATTGATCCATTAGTCCGAGTTCACTTCTTCGGAGCAGCTTTGTGCCTAAGGGACAATATCTAGATTTCACAGATCGAAAAGTGGTTTGTCAGGATGGTGACAGCCTCATAGCCATCCTGGAGGATATCATGGATTCCATATGTATGTACGCTATATAACACTCTATTCACATAACATCATCATATATTGACACGTGTCCGGCATTCACAGAGCGGACTTCTCCCACACAATCTCCTTGCCATTAAGTCCCTCCACAGCGGGGATCTGAGCCCGCAAAGCCTGTCCGTAATCTCCGGCATTCGGCGTACGCAACAAGGTGTGAATGTGGAACTTCTTGGGCTCCTCGTTGTTGAGGAAAACACCGGAGTGGTGGTCGAACTCGACCAGAACCACAGGGCTCTGCAGACGGTAGTAGAAGGGGTCGCTGTCGCCGTATCCACCGATCCAGCAGAAGTACGTCTCCGACTCATATTGGCGGATCTGGTCCAGCTTCATCTGACGAGCCCGAGCGGGGAGGTACAACAGGTATTGCTCGAAAATACCGTACATGAATTTCTTCTGTTCCTCCGTGAATCCCTCGACGGTGATACCCTCGTTAGGGACGACGCGGTTGTCCCGGTAAGCTCCGCACAGGTGGCGCTGGTCATCGCGGTTCCAGCGGCCTGGGGGCATGGCGGGATCGTGCATCTGTTCGAATACGCGGGCCTTCTGCTGGAGGTCAGGGGTGAGGGATTGCATCAGACGGAGGCCGAGCTCTTCTTCGATCTGCATGATACGAGTACCCGAGTACGGGCCATCGTCAATCTCATTGGGCTCGGCGCCGGTGAACCACGGGGAGGCGACGATCTGGTTCTTGTATAGGAAGATGTTGAGGCAAAGGTGGTGGCCATAGAAGGACCAGCCCCATGGCCGGGTGGTCGAGGGACGACCGAAAAGGACAAAGTTGTAGGAGAACTCGTTCATGACTTTGGGAGATTCCACCAGCTCGCCGAGGAAGTGGTTGATGCGCATGGCCTTGACGGCCTTGTCGTAGCCCTCGGGCGACAGGGTGGTCTTCAGGACGTTCATGATGGCATCGCGCAGCTTGTTGTCAATCTCATCGAGGCGCAGACCCTTGTGGGCAAGAAGGAATTCGGGGTTTGACCAGGTCCGCCATTCGGGGGAGTCGATGTGGTAGGACAGCGCCTGGCGCTGCTTGTCGTCGGCAAGGGACAGGACGTTCTGAACGGACTCAACAATGTCGCCAACGGGCACATCTTCATCCTGGAGCGTGAACAAGCCGGGGCGAACATTTCCTTTGGCAATTGATTAGCATTGGCCCTTCAAACCGGCGGTGCGGGGTGAACTTGTAGGAGAAAAAGAACTTACCATCGGTGGTTACACCCTTGAAGGGTTCCTGCAGCAGATCAACCCAGTGCATATACAGCGCATGCAGCCACGGAGGGTTCTTCAGCGTCTTGAAATCATGGGCATATTCATGGGCATCCTGATTGCGCATCACCTGGAAGCGCTTCAGACTCAGGTCGGGCAAGTATTGACGGTACTCGCCCGTAGGCTTTTGCAATTCAGCGGCTGAGTGGGACATGATGGGCGGATTGCAACAAGGCAGAAGGGAGGATGAGCCAGTGTTGCAGGGAGAGGAGAGAACGGGGAGATTGAGAAGAAAAGAGAGACAATGAGGGGGAGGGGTAATAGGAAGCAGGCAGCGACGCGTAGTTATTATAGCTGAACGTGTAGTGAGACTGCGATCGGCATCTGCTTTCCGTACTTCTTGGGATTCTTTTCCCCGTGGCGTCACTCCCCACGCTCTCTCCACACGAATCCCCACCGTGGGTGGTGGAGAGCGGCTGTTTTCTTATCCGACACTGCTTTCCTCCATACTTTGCCTCGCCATTGCCGGTCTTCCCTCTTTACTCACATCTACTATATGGGCGATCAATGCGAACGGTTATCGGTTTTATACCCATCGGATATACTAGACGTCTTTGCAGAGTGATAATGTCCTATCTACTATCTAAAACCACATTGTCCCTCATTCTCAGACGTACATCAGCCCACCATCCCGGATATCCCGACGGCTCTGCATAACTCCGTCTGTCCGTTGGTCCATCTAGCCCGAACCACCTATACCCTCATCCCACGCCAGATGCGCCCTCAATTCCCCCAATACCCCACTAGATTCCCCCGGATATTCAAAGCGCGCTAAGACGTGCTGGTCGGGGCGGACTAGAATTGCCTGGCCCTCCGCTAATCTCGTCAGCGCCATCCACTTTTCGCCACCCCCGGGCTGAAGGTCAAAGTTCGCCCCCCTAGTCATCATCTGGAGTTTTAGCCCACTAAACTTGCCGGGGAGTTGCCGTTTCACTTCGTCGAGGATCTTTCCCCAATGATCGGCTGATCTTATGTCCACAATGAGGGTGAAGGCGTCAAATGCACACAAATCTAGCGTGGAGAATTGTTTCAGTTTTAGCTCCTCGGGAAGAAACTCAGATACATAGGAACAATCAATAGGAGGAAGTCGTATCTGGTCTGGGGTCAATAACTTGATCCACGCATGCGGTAAGCGGGCTCCAGAAATGCAAACGGGCTCAT